GAGCAGCAATCAAGCTCTTACCACCCATTCACTCCCTTCACCATAGACTTAGGATCATTTCTCTCTCGCCTTTTGTACCCCCTACTATAAATTTCCAGTGCTAGTAACACGAGCAGCAGCGACGAACTGGACGTAGGGACTTTCTGCCCGAACCAGTATAAACCTCTTGTCCTCTAAGCACACCATCCGAGCTAGACGCACAATAATACAAATTTACTCGTCAGTGATAACTCGAGACATCGATAGTAAGTTTTACTATGCTCTAAACTATTTTCCTCGGGTCTAATAGGGCTAGCGCCCGGCCGGCCGGACACAGCTATGACGCCTACACTTGTGGCGCATCGGATGCCTCCGTGCTCACACAGATCCTCGCCAAAATGATGATCGCGTCCCAAAGAACTCCGAACCCATCTCGCTTAGCGATCAAGGTCCGCCACACGTGACCCATCCCACGCCTGAAACCCATCCTGGCTGCGCCCCCGCGTCAAGCCCGCCACGCTCCTCCCCTCTCACCATGACGCCATCCCCGCCGCCCCCTGCCCTCCCGTCGCACTTTTTTCTCGTCCCTAATGTCTCATCTCCTCTCGCAGAACATCCGTCGACCGACTGCAAACATATGCAGTATACTCTTAAAACATACCTGTATAGTCATTGCAACATCCAGATGAAACGGTTGCAACATGCATATGAAACAGCTGAAACATTTGGAATATACATTTGTAACATACGTTTGAAACAATTGAAACATGTGGAACATACACTTGAAACATACTCCCTCTATCCCTAAACGTTTGTTGCCACGATTTGTGTGCCAATAACTTTGACTCGATTTATAAAAAATACGTGCAACATTTCTATCTCCAAATAAAATTATAAAAACTAGATTTAAATATCTATCCAATGATACTAATTATGTATCATAAATATTAATATTTTTAATATATATTTAGTCAAAGTTATTTCTCGAGAAGTGAAAACGATAGACATTTAGGGACAGAGGGAGTACGTGTGTAGTTATTATAACATATGCAACACCAGATCATTTTGTAACATCCAGATAAAGCACATGAAACATACAGATAAAACACATAAAACATACATCTAAAACGCGTGAAACATATGATTGCAAAAGGCTTGTCGATGCGGAGTTCGATGCCACATAGTGACGCGGAGGGCGGTGCTAGTCTAGGCGTGAGGCACGGGCCTCGGCGGGCCGCGTCGAGCATTATCGTTACCACTTTTGGACGGAGGAGAGCGTCGTATGAGCGAGCGAGCCAAGAGCGATCGGACGGAGGGAGTACCTCCCAAGAGCGACGCTATCTTGACACAAATCTTCCCAATCTGTTTATCTGTTTCTTCACATCCACATCCGGGAATAACGCAAGTTGGATGAGTACGACCTCCGACGTACCTGGTCAGTCTTCTCCCCACAAACAAAAAAACGTTTTAAACGTACACAAAATTCCAACCGAGGAGGAGCTGCAAAGATGCCTGCACCACTACATATTCATATGGCTGTCAATGCTCTGTCTCTAGCTCATCCCATTTTCATGGCTTATTCATTCATTTATTTATTTACAAGGGTGCCGACGTGCCGTAGCGTATTATATCTTTGGAGTTTGGCCTAAAGGAAAGGGACAATTGTTCAGAGTAAAGTAATAACTAATGAGCGTGGCAGGAATTGGCAGCGGATTTCGGATGAGATTTGCAGCTGGTTTTTCTCACGCTGGGCTGCTATGATCCCAAACCTCGGGTGATCTCTGTCCACCGATCTGCTTCTCGAATCAGGATAGCTACGCGACACTGCTGCGATGGAATCATTGAGGGCTTCAGATGAGCCGTGTGCAGGTTATGAGTCACAACTTCAGAACAAGGATTTACCTTTTCAGAAACTCCGTCTGAACTCAACTTTTACTATAACAAAGGAATAATCTCTGACAATCTTCAGCTCACGAGCCACACCTTCAGAAACAAAGGATCTCCCTTTTCAGAAACTGCATATATACGACGCACGTTCAACTTGAGCCTTGGATTTGCCTCGAATGCAAAATTCGCGCGAAATCCGTGCGTCACTCACACGACAAATGCTGACGAGTGGTCGTCTGGTCGAGTGGAGGCAGGCTCTGACGGAAACATAACTGCGGCAGCTAGCCACTCTCTTCGTTCAAATTATAAATCATTCTATCTCTTTTAGATATATTATTTATACTATATATTTAAATATAATATATATATAGTAGATACTTAGTAATATGAATGGATCTAGAAAAATACTCCTTCCTTTCCAAATGATAAAACATTTTGTCTTTTTTACATACGTTGTATTTGTTATATACATAGATATACACTCTGTCTAAATATATTATAAAAACAATATATCTAAAAAGACAAAATATTTTATAATTTGAAACATGATTTAATAAGAAGTTACAATGAGTAGCTAAGATGGCACATCCTGCGCCAGCCACCTGCCTGTGTCCATCGTCCTGATCGATCATGGCTCCAAGCACAAATAGCACGGTCCACTGCACCGGCCTACGAATTGTAAAATTTATGCAAGTTAAGCTAGTTTAGATGATTAAATTTATTAACACTTATGTCTTTAACTAGATGTATAAATATATTTTATAATCAATTTACTAACATTTATTTTATATCATAAATATGAGAGTGTCTAGTTATCTGTCGACATATTTTTTGTGGGAAAATCTGTCAGATTTTGTAGTATATGTGATGTTTATATTGTATACATTGAAAGTTCTATGATGTATTTTGTGATGTTCACATGGTATACAAGTGATGTTCTATAAAATCGATGATTTAGTACCAAAAAATATGTCAACAGATAAAATAGCATGTATTATACATGTAATGTTTATATAGTATAAATGTGATGTTCTATCATGTATTTTGTGATATTCACATGGTATATAAGTGGTGTTCTACAAAATCTTATAGATTTAGTACCAGAAAATCTGTCGACAGGTAAATAGCAAAATTTCATAAATATTAATATTTTTATATAACTTTATTTAATCAAACCTTAAATATTTTTTAAAGAAAAAATAAATCATTTACTCTAGAAAAGTGAAAAAAGGTGAGAACTGATCAATCAAGTAAGAACTGAACGGAGGATGGTGTAGCTGCTAGCTATAGCTCGCGCACTACCACGTCCACAGTACCACCTGTGCGGGTCAGGGTGGGGTGGGACCCGCCCAGCCGGCACGACCAGCCACTGCCGAGAGGGCCCCTCCACGTCTCTTGATTGCTTCTGCAGTTCCAACAGTGTTCAGATTTTCAGAAGCAGTGCTCACCTGACCCCCTCCACCTCCAGATGCGTTGCGATGCGCTTTAAAGGGACGGACGGAGCGGGATCGCCCGGCTGGCTGCCTCCTTTCTCCCATCTCCGCTCTATCCATCCATCTGCTGCCGTCCCCCTCCCCGCTGCGTGCGAGAGGCGCGCCACGAGAACGGCGCCCGAGATCGCTTGTCCCGTCCGCGGCACCTCCGCTCCTCCCACGGTGAGAATTCCGCGTGCTCGGTTGCCTTGCCTGGCTGGTGGTGGTATGGTGCGGCCCGCGGCGGCGGGGCGGCCGTGTTTTTTAATTTGCCTGCGCCGCAGCTCCGGCTGGGCCCCCTCAATTGGCTCCCGAATCCCGAGTCCGGAAGATTCCTTGCTTTACCGGCGGAATTCGGGCTCGTCCTGACGGTTTATCCGCTGGATTTGAGAGGGGTTGTGAGTGAGGTGATCGGGGTCATCTCGGGCCCAAAGGTGGCGGCTTTACTTCGATTAGTCCCTGAACCTCTCGGGCTCTTGTGAATTCCTTGCTCACTCGTTTGCAATCAGTGCCTGGTGCTTAATTGGGCATGGGGTACTGCAGAATTGGGATTCGGTACTCTGCGTGGCTGCTCGGGCTGCTGGTTGCGCCTGATTGTGACGTTTATCCTGCACCTGCACAGGGTTGACTAGTAGGCACGATAATGATTGGAAGCAGCCGCCCACCTTTGTCTTGTTTTCTTTCTTCTCTGTTCTCTCTACAGGTTGGATTGAAAGACAGATGCTTTGGACTTTGAAGGCTGGGTGCTAGTTCCGTTCATATTGGTTGAGATTTCAGTAGTAAGACTAAGAACGTACTTGTCGTCAGGCTTGCTTTCGTAGGGGCTAAGACATCAGACATGTGCTAGTGCTTCTGTCGCTGTGGTCGTTAGTGCTTTCTTACCTGAGAATTAGGTTCTTGTCCTACTTATCTGAATATAAGCTTTTCATCGATTATTTTTGCTCAGACCAATTTCTATCATGTATAAGTCTCCGTCCTCCTTTTTTCCTCCTTTAGCTTTACTTGATGCTATTGTTCGGTGGGTTGTCATTTCTCAATAAAATACTGAACAATGATTGCCTTAGCATGTTCGAAGAATATGGTCGATGGGTGTCGCCTATCTAGGTGACTGCTGATAAGTGTGTTCCTGATTCTTGTTTGACTTTACTTGCTGATAAGTATGCTGTTACTTCACCCTGTTGTCCTGTTATGAACATTCTAGTTTCCTTTCACAGTGTATCCAAGCACCTTTACTTGGGAAAGTCAGAGCTGCCTGCATAGTTAGTCCGCTCCTTAGGATTTGATAAGTTCATATTGATGCCTTGACGGTCTTGCCACATTGCTCCTCCTTATTTTAAAACGGATTGCCACGTTGCCTTGCGTCTGGAGTCTGGTAAAGTGTGTGCCTTGCTAATATTCATCCATTTTCTTATCCTTGTGATTCGGGTTTTTGGAGTATGGTTGTTTGTTGCAGTCGTTTTTCCATGTCTTAGGATTTTGTAGGTTTATATAGATGGTCTGCCTGCCACATCGCTCTGTTTTAACCAAAAAAAAAGTCTCACTGCTTTGTATCTAGTAAAGTGTGTGACTTGCTAATGTTTATCCATCTATTGATCTTTGTTATTCAGGTTTCTGGAGGATAATTCTTTGCTGTTTAGCGTTCCTCAAAAGTAAAAAGGATAAATGGGATCAGAAGGACCTTCAGTTGTCACTGTCCATGTTACTGGATTTAAGAAATTCCATGGGGTTGCTGAGAACCCAACTGAGAAAATTGTGACCAATCTTAATTCTTTCTTGGAAAAGCGAGGGTTGCCAAAAAATCTTGTCCTCAGAAGCTGCACAGTTCTCGAAGCAGCAGGGCAGGGGGCACTTCCCACATTATATAATGTTTTAGAGTCTGCTATTGCAGACAGAGGAATTGGGTCCTCGGCGCAGGGACAAGTAATTTGGGTGAGTGCTCAGTGCTAACCATATTCTTGATTTGATAGTGTGGTCTAGGATCACGTTAGATGAATCAGTATTCCTCTAACTTTTAGCTAAAATATCTGTTTCTGTTTTCCATGTCTTTATTCTCTCAAACTAGGAGATTAGTGTTCAAACTATCCAAGTTCATATAGCAAGTTCTTTCATGCATTGCCGAATGGAACCATGAATTCTGTAGTATTTAATGGTTATATAATGTATTATTGAATTACTTTTGAAGAGTATATATTTCTTTTTTGTACTTTATTAAAGGAACTTACCAATTGAGGAAAAGAACACCCACCATTTGCATCATCAAGTATCATTTAAAGCATCATTGTTGGGCACTCATCAATGTCGATGCATATTGCTACTTGATATGTTTTGTCTTATGTTGAAGGCCTAATTTACAATTCACAAGAATTTTACCCTCTTATTTGACCATGTGATAAGATGGTCATCTTACAGCATTAAAAATATTGAGGAAAAGTAAAGCTTCTTAAATTATGATTGGAAACTGATGCTTCTGTTGGCTTTTCACAAGAATTAGTTTCATTGTGGATTGTCATGCTTTCTTCTCTGAAAATATATATATTTTTTAAATGTAGTTTGTATTCAGTGCCACTGGAATTGATTCTATCATGGAATATATTTCAGATCCACTTTGGGGTAAACAGTGGCGCAACAAGGTTTGCCCTTGAGAACCAAGCTGTTAATGAGGCCACCTTCCGGTGTCCAGATGAGCTAGGATGGAAACCTCAGGTTGCTTTGTTGTCCAATGCCTGTTATTGTTATCTACACTTGCAAATAAACCTTGTCGATGCATTTTGATCATCTTCTTTTGTTCCTGTGCAGAGGGTCCCTATTGTGCCCTCTGATGGAAGCGTCTCCCGGACGAGAGTGGTAAAGATTTGATATGTTTGATTTGATGGGTGTTTGTTGAATTTATCTGTGCAGTCTTACTTCGTTTAATGTCTTGTCATATCTAATTCTGTATCTGGAATCTGTTTTCTGTGCGCAATATTTGCTTTCAAAGGTGTGCGAAGTAGATAACCAGATTTTCTTGATTTATTTGGTTGTACCCACCCAAAAATTCATTGATATGCAGGAATATTGTAATTTATCCCTTCCTATTATTTCTATTTGAATCCAAGCATCAATCTGTGAGAAATTAACAAATACTATGATAAACAACCTGGTAGATTTGCCATGGTTATCTATAGAGCATAGAAGACCTAGTCCCCAATAATATCACAATGGCTTCAACGTCTTCTCTATATCATCTTGTTCTGTTCTCCCCTGCCCTGATTTGTATTCTTCAAAGTTCTCTTTTTATTTATATGAATATATATTAATCGGTAGGGACTTGCCCCTCCTTTTTCATTAAAAGAACAAATAATCTGCTAGAGCTACGGATTTTACCTGTGCACCAAAATGTTGTTTATTGTACCAAACAACAACCTGCCAGAGCTGGATTTTACATGCACACACTTAACCCTTTAGGCTTTTTGATTGATCTTTCCCGTTGAAGCATTGCTGATCTTGATATTAATCACCCTTTTCATGACCAACCAGACCACCCTGCCAGTGAATGAATTGACCAAGTCGCTCCGGAAGATAGGCTACGATGTGGTGCCTTCCGACGATGCCGGTCGGTTTGTATGCAACTATGTGTACTACCACTCTCTTCGGTTCGCGGAGCAACACGGCATCAAATCTCTGTTCGTGCATGTGCCCCTCTTCTTGACGATCGACGAGGAGGTCCAGATGCACTTTGCCGCTTCCCTCCTCGAAGTCCTCGCTTCCTCCTCCAACTAGGAACAGCAGTTCTAAGGTGCGTCTGCTCAGCGACCGGTCCAGTTCATTGATGTAGGACAGAAGAGCAGAGTGAGTGTAACACTGTGCTGTCCGGGCTGGTTTCCTGCTTGCAGATCAGCATTTGGATTCCTATCTCAAGGATGGATGTAAAGCTGGATGCAGACTGAATAAGGTGGTGTGGTCATTGGCGATAGATGTTGATCTTGCTCCAGAGGGTGGTGTGTTTGGGAAAAAAAAAGGGAATTGCTGCATAGTCAGACAGTCGGTGTATGTTCCTGTGGCCAATTGTGGCTTGTATGCCATCAATCAAGCGTTGTAAGCATGCCTGAAAAAAATTGGGGACCTGGATTTCAATAAGATTGAGTCGTTGGGGGCAGACGCATTGCATTACATGATTTACATGTGACGTGTTAGAAATCATGTATGCTGATGCAGATAAATATGCTGAACACAAATTGTTTGCATCGGCTAGTCTGACGGCTTTCAGGCAGATAAATATGCTGACGCACTAATTCTTGCTGGATAATACGCTTCTGCATTTGACATGCTATGAACTGATGACCATTCGATTAACATCTTCTGCCCAATGTGCCTGGATTGGTAGATGTGTGCTTCTTGTACTGGCACTTGAGCTGGGCTGGGCTAATGGATAGGCCTGCTTGGCGTTGGTCTGAGACTTGAGAAAGAAGCAGAACATTGCATCGCAGTAGAAATGGCATTGAGGGATGATCCATAGATTGAATAGTGATAAAAAGAATACTGAGGTTTCTTCTAGCAAAGGGGTTAGAAAGTGACTTTCAGCTGATTGGGAACGAAAATGTTGTTTGCACAAGAGACAATTGCTGATGCCTGCAACAGCAACATCCTTTATAGATGTTGTGTCGGCCTGGAGTATGCTGAGCTAATGAAATAGTACAGACTGACCAAGTCGTTCTCCAAAGTTAAGAGATTAACAAAATCCCCACTCCAAAGAAGAGCTAAATAAACTAATCTGAAGATCAGTTCCTGTGCAACCTTTCTGTGATTTGCTTACAATGCCATAGGAGTGGAACATAAGCGTATACAATTATTCTTGTGGCCTTTAAAAAAAATATTCTTGTGGCGCACGGCACAGACAAAAGTCAAAGTTTGAGATAGGAAACATGAATGAGTGAAGAACTCTTGACATTTTTCATAACCACTATAGTCACTTGAGCAAGACATACATATCTTAAATTGAGAGTTCTTTATGAAATTGCATGTACGGAGTAGGAGATAAGAGAAGAGATATAGTATATATAAATGCCATATGAAAGGAGATCAACAAAGCGGACAACAAATGAGAATTATTTGTGAAATTTCTTAATATGCAGGTAAGCAAATGTTAGCAGCAGAGAGAAACACACAAGCTGAACGCCCAGCAGGCAGCAGCCAGTTCCACCTTCAATATGCAATAATAGTATAATAATACCATATGAAAGGGCAAAAGAGGTGAACAAAGTAGACTAAGACATGAGAGTCACTTCTGAAAAGTCATGGGTGAAAGTACCATTCCTGATTTGTTACGAGAAAAAAAAAACTGTTCCTTCGCTGGGCAAAGCAGCAGACCAAGCTCGTCGGTTTCGATTACAGGCCCCAGACAACGAGATTGCATTGCATGACTACAACTCTAGAAGCGGGCAGAACCAAACGCTGAGCACAGCTCGTCCTCCGATCTGGGCACGGCGGCAGCGGCGGCGACTGAAGATGACGACGATGCTCCCACATCGCCTTCGTTGGTCGGGACCTTCTGCTCCCCATCTGGGGTCTCCCGCACGATCCTACCCCTCGCCAGGCGGTACGAGATGCGTCGCCCTGGCACTGCCCTCCTGCTCATCCCGCAGGCCCGATCCATGGCCACCCAGATGGACCGGAGCTCCTGGATCAGCTCCCGTTCCGTCTGACCCATGCGGGCGTAGCGCCACGCCGCCGCCTCCGGATCAACATCCAGCTGCTCTGCAATACTCCAAACCTCCCTATTGCTGAACGGATAGCGCTTGTTCGTTACCTTGGAACCCTCCATGGTCTCGCGCTCTGCTTCCTCCGTCCCTGCCCTCGACCTCCGTCCGAAAAAGACAGTAAAATTCTGAGTTTTGATCGACTAGTAATAAGTTTATAGTAGGATATCATTATTAATATTTATTTATGACTCTATAGATAGATATCTTATGAGTTAGAGTTCTAATTATATATATATATATATATATATATATATATAATTTAAATTTCAAAACTTATTGTGATCATATATCAGTTGGTTAGGTTCTTTGTGGTGAAACCTGTCCACCCGGATTTAAGTCTTCAACTTGACACGGTTACTCGTATTTTCCAAGATTTAACGGCACTACTATGTAATTCTAAAAAAAATATCTAAACTTATTAGAACACCTAACGAAAGATGTAAACTCAAGAGGTTTGTCGACCCATTTTTTTTATTTCCTATAATGCCCCGTGCCCCTCCAAGTCCACATGCTCCTCCCATTTCTGAGAGCATCTCTAAGAGACTCTCCATATTCTTGATAAATGCTAGAAATAGATATTTTGATGAAAAACTACCCTCCAACAGCTTTTCTAAATTATTATGCAAATATAGTCATCTTCTATTCCGGATTTTTCGCTAGCCAAAAATAAAAGACGAGAATGACTCTCTAGAGTGCGCATGAGATATAGAAAAACGGTTGGAGAGTGAAAAGATATAGCAAACGATTTTTATGCAAATGACTCTCTAAATGATGATTTAGAGAGTGAGATTTAGAAAGGCTCTTGGAGATACTCCACCTCCTATTTGGACTATGACAACATTGAAAAGTAAGACACAAATATTACTAAACTTGCATTGTGTATGAATTCAGATTCTTGTAAATATAATTTAGGTTTAGAATCTTTCAAGAAACATTTTCAGAAGATAAATCAAAATCATGGTATGAGACTGGTTGGCTAGTTTTTTTTTCTAAAAAGTTGTATAAATTAAAATATGTTTGGAAAAAAATCAAGATTCAAACCAGTGGCCTCTAGTCTCACATGACCTTTCTCTACCATGACACTATTTATTATGTTACATATTTTTCTCAAACATACAAGAGAATTACATATCATTTCACTAAGGCCCGTTTGGATCATTGGAATCTAATAAATTATAATTTAGACACATATTAATTAAGCTAACATGGTTGTATATGGAATATATTTATATATTATTTTTTCTTAATCATGCAAAAGGTTTGCGCGTCTTTTTATTAAGGTGGAGAAAAAGTTCAATACAACACGCCTTCAAAGGCCTAGGGGGTCAATAAAGATTTACATGGAAGCTCAGTAAATATATATGAAATATATTTATATATTATTATTAGCAATGAAAGAGATATGCTTATATGTTTTATTTCTACTATAAGAAAACGAGTTGAAGAGAGTACTATAAGTTGCAGAGTAGAAATATAATATGATGGTCTATAAAATCAATTTGCATCTCTTCATCCTATGAGTTTGAGATAGGATTATATATAAACTCTGAAAAATTGTGGAATCTCAAATTCTATGTCAAATAGCCTAATTTATCAAGTAGATTTCAATTCTTTTAAAATGAAGGGATTCAAACAACCCCTAATGAAACGAACCAGGATTTCAGAAATGAAATTCCGACTCTCTTGCCCCTCTATGATAGTCCCAGGATACCTCAGGTATCATGGACGTCCACTTTTCAGATGAATACAAAGTCATACAACACATCAGAGTACAAAAATTTAGCCTATTACATTAATCTAATTACAAGCCCTCTGGACTAAAATCAAACAAAACACTGGAACTCTAATAGTAGCAGCGAAGCTTGACGAGTCTTCAATCCACATGCATCCTTGAGAGTAGATCCACAAACCAGCTATCATTCACCACACCACTGCGAGGCAAGAAATTTACACACCACCAGATGTGTGCAGGCCATGGTCAACACCGAATGAGCTTTGGTGGAAAAGAAAAAATAAAAGGATCTGATGATCCTAATAGTTTGGTTGTACTTTGTATCCTTAGCGCATGCATAATAGCAACAAAAGTAATAATATCTTCTCAAGTTCCAAATGTGGCAGAACCGGCCGAAATAACACGTTTTCAGAGGGGCTCGTCTTCCACTAGACACTAAGCACCCCGAAAGTTAGCTACATCGGACAGTTCCGTCGAGCACACCCTATGGGAGAACTTGAATCAATCCACGTTTTACCTCTAGAATCCAATAATGAGTACGAGCTTACAATACTTAGTCCATTTCATACAACAAGAGTGTCGGTGCGGGACCCATGGGATACCCCGCAAGGAAGAGAGAAGATCTAGTCTAACTAGGATTCTTCCCATGTAATCCTAGTAGTAGTATTATTCTGTAATCCTACTAGAAACCCTCATTGTAAACCGACTAGGACTCTGGCCTCCTGACTATATAAAGGAGGGCAGGGTTCCTAGAGACAGGACTTTGGACTAAACTCCAGACAATTAATCCAACGCAAGGCTAATGCCGATTAGACGTAGGGTTATTACTCGATCAACGATCGAGGGCCCAAACCAGGATAAATCGACTGTTTCTTGCGTTCACCATCGAGTTCCGCATACGCTGATGCCCGAACATACTGCCCCAGGTACCCCCGTGGCAGGCTATCGGTGGTGAAACATCGACAGCTTAAACATCGACAGCTGGCGCGCCAGGTAGGGGCTTTCAGTGAATTTGCATTCGAGAGCTTGATGGACCTCGACAACATGATCTTCTCGACAAGATCAACCTTCATCTTCGGCTCATGGATCTGCGAGGCGGACGATAATGGCAAGCTCCAAAGCCGTCTCCTCGAAGATTCGAATCACCATGAAGACCATTCTATTTCGGCGACTACGATAGGTCAACTCACTGGAAGATTTGTGCAGCTCGCGATGTCCGATTCGATTCAGACTTTGCGACTTTGCGCATCCGATTCAAACTCAGGTTCCACATCCGAAATGGAGTCTTA